CCATACCTTTGCCGAGCAATGACCATTTCCAATGAAAGACAATCTAACCATCATCCCTCAGCACATAGTGGCATTACCATTATTGAATCTGCCACCACCAACATCCTGGAGATTACCATGGACTAGAAACTGAACTGGACTAGCCACATAAATACAGTGGCCACAAGAGCAGGTCAGAGGCTATGAATACTGCAGTGATTAACTCACCTCCTGCCTCTGTGAAGCCTATCCATCATCTACAGTGCACAAGTCAGGAGAGTGATATCCCCCACTTGCCTGGCTGTGTGAAGCTCCATCAACATTCAAGAAGCTTGACACCATCCAGGACAAAACAACCTGCCTAACTGGCAGCACTCCACAAACATCCAACCCCTGCACTACTTATACTGCTGCTACTAAGTGTCGACCATCTGCAGAAATTCACCAATGCTCCTTAAAAACCAATGTCCAAACCCATGACCACTTCCATCTCAAAGGACAAGGGCAACAAACACATAAGAAAACCACCAACTGTAAGTTCCCCTTCAGGCCACTCACCATCCTGACTCAGAAATATATTGCCATTCCTTAGGTGTCGCTGAGTAAAATCCCTGAAACTCCCTCCCTAATGGCATTGTGGACTGCAGTGCTTCAGGAAGACAGCTCACCATCACATTCATAATGACAACTAGGGATGGGCTACAAATACTGGCTAAAGGAAGACATATGAAGACTAAAGAACATAAAGCAAAAAGTACTCATGAATGGTTAAGGATGGTTAAGATTAATTTTCAAAAAAAAATTAAATTAAAGTTTCTGCAACATGCTCACGTACTTCCTTTAACACCCTCAGATGGAAACTGTCAGGTCCTGGGGATTTGTCACTCTTTCATTCCATTAATTTCCTCATTACCAATGTTTTACTTATGTTAATTTTATTCAATCCCTATTCCCGATCCACTATTAATTTCTACAGGACTTCTGGCAAGTTATCCTCCTTTTCTCCTGTAAATACTGAGGCAAAGTAATTACTCAACATCTCCTCTGTTTCCCCATAGTCTTTGATAACATCCCCAGTTTCAGTCTTTAGTGGGCCAACATTGCTCCTGACCATCCGCTTTCTGTTTATGTGACTGGGCAATTTCTTTTTACTGATTTTGAGGTCCCTGCCAAGTTTCTTTTCATAATTCGTTTTAGTAGCTCTTATAAGTTGCTTTGTGGCCCTTTGCTGGTCCTTGTATCTTTTTCATTCAACTGGATCTGTGCTATCTTTTGCATTTTTCTAAACCCTTACCTTTATAATAATCCATAGGTGTTTTTTTTTCTGTGAAGTGGAGCTTTTTTCTCTCAGTGGTAAAAACTAGTTTTGTATTGTGTTAAATACTTCTTTACTCCTCTGCTGTTCTTCAGTTGTTTTACCCATTAGAAGATTTTCCAAGTTTACTGTGGACGGTCTCCGAAAAAGCTCTATAGAGACTAAGATCCTGTCAACAAGTCACCCTTTATTTACACGTGAAAAGTTCTTGACTCTAGTATTACCTTTTCAGAGTCAGTTCTGAGTGCCAGAATCTCTGATACTTCTCTTTTTATCTGTCAGCCAGGGCTCCCTAATTGGAACAGATTAACAACTTCAGTCAGGGAGCTCATAACCTATGAGGTCCAGCTGGCTGACCTCAATACAATCACTACAGTCTCTGTCTCATATCATTAAAGCCGGCTTCACATAAATCTAAAACTCTAGTAGTTGATTCATGATTTTCACTTTCGAATGCTACAATGAACTCAATCATGTTATGATCACTATTTACTAAGCTTCTGACACAGTAACTCTTTTTGATCTGAAATGCACTATCTAAAAGGGTGAGTTAGCAGATAACTTTCAACGATGAATTGCAGTAAAACTAGAAGAAGAAAATGAACTATGGAGCTACGGGAATAGAACAGGGAAGTAGGATTAATTAGATAGACTTATCAAAGAATGAGCTAGCACAGGCATCACGGGCTGAATGGTGTCCTCTGCTGTAGCATTGTAAGACACTGAAAAGAAGAGTGAGAGTACATGAAATGTAGGAAACCTCACAAGATAAAGATGCAGAATAGATTAGGAAAATGCAACTTGTGTGAAGACTGAGCAGAAACAGGATAAAAGTTGTCTTTTTGGTATTTGATTTTTATAAAGCCTGTTAGTAGGAGAGACATAAATCTGATCTCAAGTTTTAATTCTGTGGTGTGAATCCTTCAGCACTTAAGGTTAGGCCGTGATGCTGCTTATGATAGCTGGTGGCAAGCAAAGGTTTAAGTAGCTCCAAAGTTAATCTTAGAGTCTGATTCAAATACAGCTCAGGGACAGATTTGCCTGAAGGTCTGACCTGTTGTTTATTAGTCAGAAAAACCCTTTAATAAGGAGCAGTAGCTAGAAACACTGCAATCCAATATTCAGAGATAGCAGGCTATTGACGAGCACAGCTTATACTGCTGTTTGTCTGTAAATTTCCCTTTATTCGTTAACAGGGTGAGGGCGTCGCTGGTGAGACAGCATTTATTGCCCATCCCTAATTGCCCAGAGGGCAGTTCAGAGTCAACCACATTGCAGTGGGGCAGGGGTCACATGTAGGCCAGACCAGGTAAGGATGGCAGTTTCCTTCCCTAAAGGACATTAGTGAACCAGATGGGTTTTTCCAACAAGTGACAATGGATTCATGGTCATCATTAGATTCCTAATTCCAGATATTTTATTGAATTCAAATTTCTTCTGTTGGTAATTTTACCCTAAAGATTTTTGTGAAGGGACCAAATCCCAATTTGACATCACCAGTATTTCCAGTGAGTTACTGACAGAAGGGGGGATACATTGCAGCTCAGACCTGGGCCATTATTACTTCTGAGATTTTCCTCTACATTAACAACCTGCAAAGTCACATGCAGTGGGTACAGTCCAAAAATCACAAGTAGAAGCATCATTTTCATTTCTTTCATAACAGAAAAAGGCTTGAGGAGGTTCTCTGATATCAGGCTATTCATTAACTCGGCTTCAACTGAATGTATCTCTTTGTCCAAAATGCACAGCTCAGGGAATCCCATGTTTTACCAGACCAGGATCTATCTGTTCAGGAGCTGCAAGTTCGTCTGGAACAGGAAAGGCAGCTTCGGGAGGACGAAAACGAAAAATTCACCAGCAAGATCATTCAGGTGGGTACAGATAATCTCTTGAGATAAACTATTTGAGCAGATTCACATAATATCCTGGGAGAAAGTTACTTGTGAAAAGAGTGAGATCCTTGACTGATTTAATCCTTGGCCTCTGATCAATCAGTCACTTACACTCATGTCTTCATTTGGATCCCCTTGGTCTCAGTGCCTCTAGGTGTGAGTGAAGTTCTTGTACCCTAATTGTTATCCATGGTCTCAACTGGAAAGTGGATGCGCGGGCATTAGGTGAGGGTAGTGGAACAACCTGCCGACATAATCCATGTTTGGATACAAAGAAAGGAAACTTGATTGAGGATCTAGAGTGTAGACAGTGCGTGTCGATCCATAAACCTCAAGAGTTGACTTTGTTTGAACGGCTGCAACAAAAATTGGGATGAATTTGACTATCCAGCAAGGAGACCAGTTCTCAGTTCTTTAGATTCAGTGTCATCTCACATTATAAACCATTATTATAGTCATTATAAACTGAATCTTGACTTGCGCACCCATTTGCAAGAATGGATACTGGAGACTAGTCCCAGGGCAAAACATGACTCACTAAGCTTGTGTGTACCATCCATTGACCGTCCTTACCACAAGCTGTGGCCCTCTGTGAATTCAGCCTGAGGACCTCCTATCCCGTGGAAAACTATCCTCCGTCTTCCAACTGCTTAAAATTCCTGAGGGAAGGGTTCTACCTGATTTAAGGGCTTTGACCAAAATGAGGGAAGCCTTTGCCAGTTTTACCTTTACCAGCTCTCCAGCCTAGGTTTCTTTAACAAAGGGAAGGAATTCTCTCACACACTCTGGATCTCCCAATAAGCAAAGGCCTGAATAACACCTTTTTACAGCAAACCAGTGACTCAGAGCTCACCCACTGTGGGCGATCCTATTTGGAATACAATATATGAACAATTTGAGACATGGTACGTGGCAAGTGACCTTAGACATATAGTTTCCAAGGATTTTCTCAACTGGGACTATTGTCTGGTGGTATGAGTCTTTTGTATACTAATTGATAGAGATTGATTTGCTATGATTAGTTAACAGCTCTATTACTTTTATACTGATGGTTTTCCTTTTCATTAATCAGCAGGGATCTTGCTTTTTGGTGCATAGGGTGTCAATAGGTCAGCCTTGTATCTGAATCCCATCTCCAAGTAGTCCAGTGTTGTTCTTTCCATGGCAGTGACGTTGTGAATTGCTCATCTTGGTATGAAAACTGTGGGAGTTGGCGAGCAGAGCCCCTGGTGTGGAAGTTTATGTCCTAACAGAGGCTGTTTTTCATGATAGAATTAGAGGCCATCTTGCCTGGAAGTAGTCAATGACCCTGACAAAAGAATACATGCTCTTAAGGTCATTATGCCATTTAAATGCTGAAAGATTACAGAATTCTGAGGTTCAGACAGATCTGGCTGTTGATTACCTGAAACACAGCAAGTTAGTATACAGGTCCAACATGCTGTTAGAAAGTCAAATGGAATTGGCTCATTCGTTGCAAGGGAAGTGGAATGTAAGAGCAGGTTTGTTTTGCTACAACTGTACAGGACAGTGCAGAGATCTGGATTACTGTGTACAATTTTGATCTCCTAATTTATTAAAGGGTATAAATGCTTTGGAACGAGTTCAGAGATGGTTTATTCGACTGATAGCTGGCCTGATAGCTGGGGTGACACAGTGGCTCAGTGGTTAGCACTATTGCCTCCCAGCACCAGGAACCTGGGTTCAATTCCAACCTTGGGTGCCTGTCTATATGGAGTTTGCATGTTCTCCCTGTTTCTGTGTGGGATTCCTCCAGGTGCTCTGGTTTCTTCCCACAGTCCAAATGTGGATTGCCTGTAGTGTTCAGGAATGTGTAGATTAGGTGGGTTATAGGGGTATGGGTCTGGGTGGGATGCCCTGGGGGTTGGTGTAGACTTGTTGGGCCAAAGGGCCTGTAGGTGATCTGTGATGTTATGTGGAAAGGTTGAACAGACTGGCCTTAATCTATTGGAGTTTAGAAGACTGAGAGATGATCTTACTGAATCCTGAGGGATTTGTCAGGGTGGATACTGAAAGGACACTGCCCCCTATGGGAGAGACCACACTCTAGACACACAGAAGGATGTCCCATTTACTACATGGGTGTGGTGACATTTTTTTTCTTGAAGGGATGTGAGTCTTTGGAACTCTGTTCCCCAGGGTGTGGTCAAGGCAGGGACTATTTTTAAGGCAGATATAGACATCTTCTCAATTAACATGGAAGTCAAAAGTTAATAGAGGGGTAGGCAGGAATGTGTGTAGCTGAGGCCACAGTCAGATCCACCCACGATCTTACTAAATGGTGGAGCAGGCTCGAAATGGCTCAAAGCCCCTAATTTATATGTTCTTAAAATTCAGAAGGATGTTTATTGCCCTGATGGAAAAAAATGCAGCTAGCATTCAAAGCAGAGCATTCTGTTCCTTTTGAGGCAAGATAAGTAGCAGAAATCCAGGAGCAGTCATGAGGAGTTTTCTTTTTCTTTGTCTTTGTATTTAAAAGGGAAACGTTTGCAAAGTTATGGGGAAAGAGTGGAGGAACGTGACTGAACCTCAAAGTTCTGTAACCTTTCGGCATTTAAATGACATAAGACCTTAAGAGTGTGTTTTCTTTTGTCAGGGTCATTGACTACTTCTGGGCAAAATGGCCTCCAATTCTGTCATGAAAAACAGACTGTTAGGGACATGCACTTCCACACCAGGGGCTCTGCTCGCTAACTCCCACAGTTTTCATACCAAGATGAGCAATTCACAATAGTGCTGTCTGATTCTACGTGAGAAAGTCAGTAACTAGCTCAGGTCAGGCCCCTTCCAAAGTTTCTGAACGATGTGGCGATGTGTGTTGAAAGCTGTATTTATATTTGGTTTTATTCCTTGGACTTATTCAAGGAAGGAGGGCGTCATTTTAGCTCCAGTTCTTTGCCAGGCTTTCTGTAAGCTTTTCCAAGGAATTTTGACTGGGACAAAAAATGGACAGATGCCATGGAGCTTTGAGTCAAGAGTCTGTGCAGAATTTTACAGCCCCCGTGATGTCATCTCCCCTCAAGCTCACTGTGTAGAGAGGAAGCAATTGTGTTCCTCCAATCATTAAAAGGGAATCAAGAATTTCTTCACAGAGTCATACTGAAGTTAAGAAACATTGGCAGAGGATTGTGTTCGTGTGGAAAATATGAAGTCAGATTTATCTTGAGAGACTTTTTACATTGCCTCAAACAAATTCACTCTTTGGGCAAAATGCACTAATTATTTTGCATAACAAATGTTATTTAATTTCTAAATTGAAACATAACTGGCCTAAAACCTCCTTTTCCTTTTAAAGTCTTGCCAGGTGAGGTCATTGGACTAGGGATGGCCACAGGCATTTTATTATCAGTTTTATTTGGTGATTAAAAACATATTTTGTTACATGCTCGCACAGTGGGATTTATAATTTATAACTGATTCAGAGTGGATTAGTGGTGTGTAACACAATGGGTTAGAATACAGGACATGAATCTTACCCAAATTGATAAGGAGTTTCCTGTGTCTGAGGGAAACCAGGCAAAACAATGGCTGTGTTTCCTGATGCTGAATTGGATTGAACTCCCATGTTAAACTGCTGAGTGGGATATCATCTCTTTTTGCCTCAGTGAATTATAGCAATGTTTTTACAATGTCTAATTGAAAATAAATTCACAACATACAGGAAAGCCTGCAGTTTGGTGCCAGTTGGCACAGGTTTGTCACAAAAAGATCTGAGTGCCTTAGTAAGGCAGAAGTAAGTGAGTCTCTGCTGACACCTCAGATGGTTACACTATCGAAGCAGTGAAATGATGTGGCCTGAATGTGCTCAAAACTGATGTTAGACTTCAACATTGCTCCATTTTTGATCATAGCAAGCGAAAAATCATTTCTCTCCACCCTCACTGTAAAAGTATCGTAAATTCTGCATGCAAAGACCTTTAAATTTATATTTACCTGAAACATGATGTCTTAATAATGTTTCTCTTGTCCATGTGATGTGGAGATTAGGGTAGAAAGTTATTGAAGAGGGATCAGGACCTCTTTCTTCGATATAGCACTAAGTAAATCCCAAGGTGGGTCTTTTCTTTAATCCTTGAATCTTTAGCTTCATGCTCCAGTAAATCTAAAGTGCCTAGAATAATATTTTCTTTGCTGCCACAGATTGAAGAGGAAAACCAGAAGAACTTGCGGAGGAAAGACTTTGAAGTACAGAGCCTGAACTTGCAGAACAGACTGGAGCAGAAGTCATGGAGTCACGAAAGGGCTCTGCTACTGCAGGAGATGAGAATGTTCAAGGAGAGCACTTACTTGTTCTATGTTAAACTTAAGTGGCTGCTCAAACACTGGAGGCAAGGCAAGAAGATGGAGTACAGTGGAGAGGACATCTTGGAGGTATGATCCCTGCATCTCAACTCAATGCATAACTAATTTGCAGTCTTGACCACTCTCAATTTTTGACTTTGCAATTAAAATTTGGCAAATAATTTAAAAAACAGTCATAACGATGGGATACTGAGAATTTTTTTTTCATTCATTTGTGGGCGTCACTGGCTAACCAGCATGTCTTGCCCGCCCCTAGTTGCCCTTGAGAAGGTAGTGGTGAGCTGCCTTCTTGAACCGCTGCAGTCCACCAAATGTTGGAGAATAAAGTGAACTTGGGTTGTATTGACCACAGATCCCTGAAAGGAGCAGGGCACGTTGATGAGGAAATCAACAAGGCATCCGGGATCTTTGCTTCATAGAATATGAGAGCACGGTAGTTGTGCTAGAATTGTATGAAACACCAGTTAAATCACAGCCACTATGAACGGCTTTGATCAATGCATTATGAGAATGCAATTGTACTGGAGAGGGTACAGAGGAAACTGAAAAGAATGTTGCCAGGAATGGAACAGTTTGGCATTGAGGAAAGAGCTGTTTATCTTGGAACAGGGGAGTCTTGCTTGCACTTGAAGCAAGGCTTAGGAGCATGGATAGAGCTATCACAAGTTCCACCACAGGAAAAGCTGCCGTGTTTTCAAACCACAGCTGATGCCAATGTTGATAAAACTGCTTCCTGCTGATTTCTTCAGCTATCTTCGAACACAAAATTTAGTTCACCCCAGCAAAGAATAGTGTAGAATGAAATGTGGAGATCTTTGTTGAGCTACTCTCAGTCAAATCAAAAGACTGCACAGAGAAGAAGTCATAGCTCCAGCTATCCCCCTACACGTGAAAGAACGAATTACAAACCTGTCCGAATCTTTTGTATTGCGGGCTGGTTCTGGTCAGCGTGACAAAATGCTTGCACCATGTAGCTTTTCTAACAATTGCTGAACATACCTCACATTTCTTTTCTCCTTAATGATTTATGTTTATCACATCCATGAGCTTCTATAGCAGTTCCAGTGTGTCTTTTCAACCCTGTTTCACCTTATCACATTATTCCTCCTTTAGAATTATAATCATAGAGGTTTACAACACCAAAAATAGGCCCTTTGGGCTATCAAGTCTGTGCTGATCACAAACAACCACCCAATTATTCTGATCCCATTTTCAAGCATTTGGCCCATAGCCTCGAATGCCTTGACTTTCTTTATAAGTTGTTATTTCATCACCTTTCATTTTGTACCTTTGATACTCATTTACATTAAATCACAGCATTCAGGTGCCGCTATCGAGGCCAGCATTTATTGCCCGTTCCTGACTGCCCTGGACAGGGTGGTAGTGACCTCTCTGCTTGAACTGCTGCAGTCAGTAGGGTGCAGGGACACCAACAGTGTTGTTAGGAAGGAAGTTCCAGGATTTTGACACAGCTATAGCAAGGTAACAGCAACGTAGTTATAAGTCAGGATGGTGTGAGGCTTGGAGGGAGAACTTGCAGATGATGATGTTTGGAAACATCTGCTTCCTTTGGTCCATCTTAATTGGTGGAAGTTCCAGGCTTGGAAGATTATAACAAGTCTCAATGACAGACAGGCATCTGCTGCCAGTGTGCATCGGTGGCGAAGGAAGTAAACGTTGAAGTTGGTGGATGAGGTGACAGTCAGGTGGACTGCTCTGTCTTGGATGGGGTGTTGAGCTTCTTGAGTGTTCCTGAAGCTGTACACATCCAGGCAAGTGAAGCATATTCCTGAATTGTGCCTTGTAGGTAGTGAACAGGGTTTGTGGAGTCAGGAGGTAAGTTACTCACTACAAAATTCCTAGCCTCTGATCTACCTTTGAAACCATATGCGTACCTGGGTAGTCTAGTTTAGTTTCTGATAAATGGTAACCTCCAGGATGTTAATAGTGCGGAGTTTAACGGAGCTAATAACATTGAATGCCAAGGCGTAATATTTAGGTTCTCTCTTGTTGGAGATGGCCATGGCCTAGCATATTTGTAGCACAAATGTATTTGCCATTTATAAGCCCAAACCTGGATATTGTCCAGGTCATGGAACATTTGGGCATGGCTGCTTCAGTATCTAAGCAGTCACAAATGGCACTGTACATTGTGTAATCATCAGCAAACATCCCCACCTCTGACCTTATGATGGAGGGAAGGTCATTGATGAAGCAGTTGAAGATGGTTGAACCCAGGACACTACACACTGAGGAACTCCTGCAGAGATTTCTTGGAGCTGAGATGACTGACCTCCAACAATCTCAACCATTTTCCTTTATGCTAGGTTTGACTCCAACCATTGGAGAAATTTCCTCCTGATTCCTATTGACTCCAGTTTTGCTAGGACCCTTTCATACCACACTCAGTCAAATGCAGCCTTGATGTCAAGGGCTATCACTCTGAGTTCACCTCTGGAATTCAGTTAGGAGCAAACTACTGCAGATGCTGGAATCTGTACTGAAAACAACAAATGCTGGAGATCACATTGGGTGAGGCAGCATCCTTGGAGAGACAGTAGGGTCATGTTTCAGGTCTAGATGACTCGTCATCAAAGCTCTGATGTGAAGTGTGGAGGGGGCAACATTTATGCTATACTCGGGGGGGTGTGGTGGAGTGCAGTGGGAGAAAGGGTGTTGATAGTGCAGATGAAGTGACTGGAATGTGAGAATGGCAGAACAATGGTGTGTCTAACTGCCAGACTGGAAAGAATAGACAGTGCCTCTGAGGTGGGGTTGGGGGTTGGTGGGAGGACATGGTGACAGAGAATATAACACGTAAAGCTGAAAGAAAGGGAAGGAATGGAAGTGGTTCATAATCTGAACTCAGTAAAGCTCAGAAGGTTGGTTAGGCACTTTACAACCTTTTGAACTTAATATTGAGTTCAACACCTTCAGATTAGGAAAGCTGAATGAAATGAAGAAGGGTCCCGAGCCGAAACATCAGCTTTCCTGTTCCACTGCTGCTGCCTGACCTGCTGTGTTCCTCCAGCTCCACACTGTGTTATCTCCATTCCTTCCATTTCTTTTAGCTTTACTTGTTACATTCTCTGTCACCATGTCCTCTCTCCTCTCCCCCCACCACACCAATGGGACTATCTGTTCTTTCCAGTCTGATACTTAGACACACCATTGTTCTACCATTCTCACATTCTGATCACTTAATCTGCACTATCAACACCCTTTCTCCCTCAGCACTCTAACCTCCGCCTCCACCCCCCCTCAATTGCATAAATGCTGCCCCATCCACACTTCACATCAGCTCTGATGAAGAGTCATCTGGACGAGGAATGTTAGCTTGCTGTCTCTCCATTAACGCTGCCTGACTCGCTGTGATCTCCAGCATTTTTTGTGTTCAATCTGGAATTCAGTTCTTTTGTCCATATTTGAATCAAGGCTGTAACGAGGGCAGGGGCTGAGTGACCCTGGCACAACTCAAACTGAGCGTCAGTAAGTAGGTATTGTTGAGGAAGTGCCATTTAATATTACTGCTAATGACCACTTCCATCACTTTACTGATGGTCGTGAGGGGACTGTTGGAACAGTAATTGGCATAGCCTTTGCAGTATCCAGTGCCTTCAAATATTTCTTGATCTGACATAGAGTGAATCAAGTTGGCTAAAGGTTGAAAAAAGGACACTAGGGACTTAGGAGGAAGCCAAAATGGAACACCCACTCAACATTTGGGAGAAAGATGAATGTCAATGCTTCAGCCTTGTCTTTTGCACTGATGTCGCTGGGGGTGTTTGTGGAGCCTCCTTCTCCATTCAGTAGTTTAATTGTCCACTGCCATTCACAACTAGATGTGGCAGGACCCCATAGTTAGATCTGATCCATTGGTTATGAGATAGTGTAGCTCTATCGCTCGCTGCCTGTGTTGTTTGTCCTGTCTAGTAGATTCACCAGGCTCACACCTCACTTTGTGGTATTCCTAGTGGCATGCCCTCCTGCACGCTCCATTGAACCAGGGTTGATCCCCTGGCTTGATTGGGATCAAGCTTGAAGGACTTGAAGGGTTAAGTGGATGATATACCGGGCCATAAGGTTGCAGATTTGCGCTGGAGAACAGTTCTGCTGCTGTTGATGGCCCACTGCGCTTCACTGTTGCTAGATATGCTCGCAGTCCATCCCATTAAGCATAATGCTAGTGCCATACAACATGATGGAGGGCAGCTTTAGTGTGAAGACAGGGTGTTGTCTCCACAAGGACTGCGCAGTAGTCACTCTTACCAATACTGTCATGAACAGATGCATCTGTGGCAGGCAGATTAGTAAGGTTGAGGTTCTCCCTCTTGTGACTTCATTGTCACCATTAAATCAGCTTTTAATTCCAGATTGTATTCAAATTTCACCACCTGTTGTGGTGGGATTCCAAACCATATTCCCAGAGCATTATCCTGGATTTCAGCCTTACTGATTCCATGTTAATACAGCTATAACGATAACTTCCTCGAATATGTGAACATTCTGTCTGTCTCTGTCTCTCTCTCTCTTCCCCCTCCACCGACCCCGCTGTGTTCTCTCACCTTTTGTACCATCTCCCGCCATTTTCCTCTAGTTTTCCAAGGATACTGAAACATCTGAGCACCTTCTTGCTGTCTGTCTAACAAAGGCTGTGGCCAGGTTGTTAGAACCTGTTTTTTTGATATGGCCTGGCGTGTTGTATAACCTTCAGACTGAGGTGTCAAGTGAGTGAGCCATCTTGGCTTCCTCCTGAGGTCCCCACCATCATAGATGCTAATCTTCAGAACTGACCAAACCCTGAGCTAAGCCGCTACAGAACAACTACACAATAACCCGGGAAACTGCCCAGTATGCTACCTTCACAAAAAAAGCAAGCCAGTTACCATCCCACCAGTCTGCACTTGTAGTTTTAGTCTGGATGAGCCAGCTGCTGGACTAGCAGTGAGACCACTATGAGCTGAAAGAAAATGAAGGCTGCAGTGCAGAGCATCCAGAAATGACAAGATACATCGGCCGAGTGGGTTTTAAAGCTGTGGTGGGTGAGGATTGGAAATACTGAGGGTGGAAAAGAGTTCAGAGAGGAAGGAATTTGAGCAGGAGACAATCAGGATGAGATCAGACATGACCATTATACACCCCAATGATGTGCGTGGCTTTGAAGTCAGTGGAAGTGAATCTTGGGTGAGAGTTGTAATAGGCGATAGATGTGATCGATTCTGTCTTGTTTTGTGTCCCTGCCCACACCCAGTCTTACCCCCTGAGTTCCAGGCAGCAAAATCTTGGCAACATGCTGGCAATGGTGGGCAATAAACACCAGTCAACCATTGTCACACAGCTAATCATTTACTGATCATTCATAGTTTCCTAAATCATTCCCTTTCCCTACAATCTCATAGGGCGACCATCCTGAACCAAAGCCTCAAAGTAAAAGGTGTTTTTCTCTCTTTCGGAGGCTGGACGATCCAGTTGGTATCACAAGGAAGCCGAGTCAAAATAGTTCAATGATCTAACAGCTGATAGCTAACCCTAAGAGCTCTGCAGGGTTGATGTTCTAGAAGTGTGAGATCACCTCGGCTGGAGGAGAATTTTCGACTGACTGAACTGACTTTGTGATCGTTCATTTTAGTAGCCCTTTCCCATCACTATTCTCATGAACATTCTGATATAATTGGTTTGAGCCCGCAAAGCTAGATACCTGAGTGAGATGCAGGAAGCTCATGCAGGACACAGGACTAAGCAGAAGCGAGATGTTAGCTCCTAGTGCAATCATCCCAAAGGATGTTTTGTTGAAATACTGCATTGTTGCGGGACAGTTAGTTAATGTTTATTCCAGCAATGTGGACTGTACTCTTCCACAGTCAAAATTTATAGACCTTGTTTGGGTGGCACAGTGGCTCAGTGGTTCGATTGGGTGACTGTCTGTGTGGAGTTTGCACATTCTCTCCGTGTCTGTGTGTGTTTCATCTGAGTGCTCAGGTTTCCTCCCACAGTCCAAAGGTTAGGTGGATTGGCATGCTACATTATGCATAGAATCCAGGGAGGTGCAGGCTTAGCTGTGGAAAATGCAGGGATATAGGATGGCGGGTTGAGTCTGAGTGGGATGCTCTTTGGAGCGGCGGTGTGGATTCAATGGGCCGAATGGCTACTTCCGCACTGTACAACATTTTTTTAACGTACAAATAATGTGTGTTGAGTTTGAACAGATTGAAAACCTGCCTGAATTGAACCTGCTCCTTGCGCCGAAAGAGCTGGATGCTGATCAGGAGGACAGTGGGTGCGGGCTGACAGAATACTCCCAGCTTTCCTGCCCCGAGACCGATGATCATAGACCGCAGCTACAAACAAAAGAGTTACTCCAACACCAGAAGCAGGTGGGTAAATCCTTCTCAAGCCTCCCACCCCTACATCCCCAACACCAACCATTATTCCCCTCCCATTCTCCCCATGTTCGGTCAGTTGGAACTTATCGATTGATGATTGAAAAAACCAGCAGGTGAAGCTGAGTGGCTTCCATTACCAGATCAGCAGGTGGATCTTCAATGAATGAACTTACACCGGCCCCTTTTTCTAAGTTGAGAAATCCACTGCTTTCTTAAAATTGGATCCTTTAGCTCGAACGTCATTGTTAACAATAAGCTTGCTCTCATTCCGTGATCTCTCTGGGACTCAATCCTCTTATCTAAGAGTGCTAACACTGCAGCAATTTGTCTTCACTCATTATTTTTATATTTGCAACTTGTCTGAGCCATTTTTCGCTGATTAGATCCCTCACTGTTGTGCTCGGTCCAAACTCCCCACATTTTGTGCTTTTTCTAAAGCCTCCCGATGATTGCTCTCAAAGTAATTTATTGCATTTTGAAACAGTTCACAAATTAGAAGACACAACAGTTGATGTGGGATGCAGTAACTGAGTTATTTGGGATGCATGATGTGCTAATTATAATATTAGTTGGGAGGATTTTAGGCCTGTACATCGTATAGCACTTCACCAATGTGCTTTTCTTCATGTCATGTCTGGCTCTGTGATAGGCAAGCAATACTATTAATTAACAAAAATTGCTTGCTTTGATTACATTGCAGGAAAATGCATATTTATTTAAATGCTAGAAATGCTAGAATAGTTTTCAAGTAAGTTCCCTCAACCACGAAACATCTCAGAACGAGAGAAATTTGAACAGTACCAGAAGTAGGGGGCAAAATAAGGGAGAGAGGATTTAGGACTGAGTTGAGGAGGAACTTCTTCACCCAAAGGGATGTGAATCTGTGGAATTCCCTGCCCAGTGAAGCATTTGAGGCTTCCTTATTGAATGTTTTTAAGGCAAAGTTAGATAGATTTTTGAACAGTAGAGGAATTAAGGGTTATGGTGAGTGGGCGGGCAAATGGAGCTGATTCCATGAGAAAAATCAACCCTGATCTTATTGAATGGTGGAGCAGGCTCGATGAGCCTACTCCTGCTCCTGGTTCTCATGTTCTGCCGTCTCACACCCACACTGGTAAATTGATTGAACCAACGCCTCATATCACTGTGTCTGGTTTGAAAGAGATACCCTCGTTGAATATCATCTTCCGTCTGCAACAACAGCACCTGCCAGTGTGTATTCGCTGCTAAAGCTGCTCTAAAACACATTACAGGAATGTTTGTTCTTCAAATTTCCCCTCTCCATGTATACAAACCTACACTTTACACCTCTCAGTGATGAGCGGAATTGAGAGTTTGGTCATTTGGCAAGTCAGATGATGCTGCATAACCTATATGCAGTACAGTTTTGGAGTAATTTGAGACTTAATATGTGGTACGTGTAGCAGTGATTGGGAAGAACAGGTTCACAAAGCTGTCCACAGCATGGGTTTTCCTTGGGTCGCGTCTGTGTTTGATTGTCTGATTCGGATGTGTAATTAATAAAGATTAACTGCTGTCATGAGTCAATGATTCCATTAACATTGTCTCAACATGGCAGATGGTGGACAAGATGTAACAGAAATTGAAATTCAGTTATGTAAAAGGGTCACTGGACCCAAAATGTTAACTCTGCCTTCCCTCCACAGATGCTGCCAGATCTGCTGAGTTTCTCCAGCAATTTCTATTTTTGCTTCAGATTTCCAACATCCACAGTACTTTTGGCTCTTTGTTTTCCAGACAAGACGCATCTGGCTTTCTTTATTCTAGCATGTCTCGTGTGGCTAATAGTTTAAACACCACTTGTAAAAGAACGAGGGTGGCAAGGGCACAGAATGGGTGAGGGGGTGATAATGCCCATCTCCAAGAGTGGTTTCATAGCACCGTTACAAAATAGGCTGGTCGTATCCTGAAGGATGTATCTGCCAGTCTGTTGAGAAAGAACCAACAATGAGGACAAAATCTTCTCGACCTCATTCTCATTGAAACTGCTCAAGGCTGAGTTAATCGAATGGTTGATTGGCATGTGTTACTGGGGACAGGAAAGTGGAGTTAAGTCCACAATCAGTTCAACCTCAACCTTATTGGATGATGGAGCAGATTCAGTGGACTAGATAACCAACTCTAGCTCCAGTTTTATTTTTAAAGACCTAACCACCACAGATGCATCTGTCTGTGAAATAGGAGTGACCACCGCAAATCCCTTACAGAGGCATAATGTTGGGATGACATTCTTCATCATCATCATGTGTGGCACCACCACAATGCCAAATGGGTCGGTTTCAGAATGGATTTGGCAGCACCAGACTGGGAACCCATGTGGTATTGTGTGTCATCATTGGCAGTGATATTGTATTTAGCCAGAATCTGTGGCTGAATACCTCGCACCCCAATATCTTTCTCACTCTGTCATTGCCATCAAGCCTGGTCCATCTGGTCAAGCTACAACATTGAACAAATTGTATGGTAAACAACTGAAACTTACCATAGAGCTAAGTGATCCCAGAATCAGATCTAAGCTCTGCAGTCCTGCCACATCCCTCTATGAATGGTGGTGGAAAATTAACCGTAAAAAAGAGTGTCCAAAAATGTCTGGACCCTCAGCAACGGTGGTCCCAGCACACAAATACTGAAAATGAGGCTGAAGCATTTGCAAGTATTTTCAGCCTGAGGCGTCGAGTGAATAAACCACCTTGGCCTGCTCCTGAGGTCCCCACCATCATGGATGCCAATCTTCAGAACTGACTACACCCCTAGCTAAGCTGTTACAGAACAATTACCCAATGATGTGGAAAATTACCCAGGTACACCCTCTCCACAAAAAGCAGGACAAATCCAACCCAGCCAATGACCATCCCATCAGTCTGCTCACAATCATCAGCAAAGACATGGAAGGGAGCAACAACAGCGATCAAGCAGCACTTGCTCGATTATAAGCTGCTCACTGATGTGCTGCAGAGACAATCAGCTCCTGACTTCATTACAGACTTGTTCCAAACATGGACAAGTGAACTGAAATCCTGAGGTAGTTCAGAGTGACTGCCCTTGACATTAAGGCAGCATTCAACCAAGTGCTGCAGGCAGGTGGGACTGGTTTAGTTTGGGATTATGTTCAGCATGAGCTGGTTGGATCGAAGACTCTGTCTCCATGCTGTATGACCGTATATCGCTAGATAAGAAGCCCTAGCAAAAGTGCAATCAATGGGAGTAGTGGGTGAAAGCTGGTTGGAGTGGTACTTGGCACAAAGGAAGATAATTGTAGTTATTGGAGGTCAGGTATCACAGCTCCAGGATGTTGAAACATTTGTTGATGATTGCTCAACGTTCAGCGCATTTACTAACTTCTCAGCTACTGAAGCAATCTGTTACAGTTGGCAGTTATTTCATTTAACCAGCAAAACACAGACAATAATCAGGAATGAGCTGATAGGTGACCTTTCACATTCACTCCACACAAGGGCCAGGCAATGACCTTCTCCTGTAAGAGAGAATCTTAACTATCTCCCCATGGCATTGGAATCGTTGAATCCCCCAGTATCAAAATCCCACCACAGCAGATAATGGGATTTGAAGTTTAAAAAGTACATGGTATAAAATAAAGTCCAATGATGACTATGAAACCATTTTCAATTGTTGTATAAACCCATCTGGTTCACTAATGTCCTTTAGGGAAGGAAATCCGCCATCCTCACCTAGACTGGCCTAAATGTGACTCCAGACCCACAGCAATGTGGTTGATACTTAGCTGCCCTCTGATTGGGCTAAGAAGTCATTCAGTTGTATCAAACCATGGAAAGGAATGACACCAGACAGAACTCCCGGCATTGACCTAGGCACTGGAAATGACAGGCACTGTCAGCCATTGTTGACACTCCAAAGTTATCATTACAACCACCTGGGAGCTAGTGCCAAAATTGGGAGAGCTGACTCACAGACTAGTTAAGCAACAGCCTGACATAGTCATACTCACAGAATCATACCTTACAGATAAAGTCCCAGACACCACCATCACCATCCCTAGATATGTTCTGTCCCACCAGCAGGACAGATCCAATGGAGGTGTCAGCACAGTTGGATACAGTCTAGAGGGAGTTGACCTGGGAGCCCTCAGTGTGGACCCCATAAAGTGTTGTAGGTCAAACTTGGGCAAAGAAACATCCTGTTGTTTGCCAAATGCTGCCCAATCACCTGGTGGATGAGTGCTCCTCTATGTTGAACCTCACTTGGAGGAAGCACAGAATGTATTCCAGGTGAGGCATTTTAACATCTACCACCAAGAGTGGCTTGGCAGCACCATGACTGATTGCGTTGGTTCAGTCCTAAAGGACATAGCTGCAAGGCTGGGTCTGCAACAGGCGATGAGGGAACCAGCAGAGGGGGAAAAACATACTGACCTCATCTCCCAGCTGCAGATGCACAGTCCTTGTGGAGCCCAAATCCCACCTTCACATTGAGAATACCCTCCATCATGTCCTGTGGCACTACCAGCATGCTAAATGTGATAAATAAACAGATCTAGCAACTCAAGACTAAGCATCCATGAGACACTGTGGACCATCAGCACAGAATCATACTCCAACACAATCTACAATCTCATAGCCAGGCATATCCCACACTCTACAATTACCACCGAGCCAGGGGATCAACCCTGATTCTATAAAGAGCGCGGGAGAGTATGCCAATGGAAGCACAACATTCTATTGGCAGTACTGAAGACTTGTAGTCCAAAATATTACACACCCTTAGCCAAACTACTGCAGTACAGCCACAACACTGGCATCTACCCGACAATGTGGCAAATTGCCCAGCAATGTCCTGAACACAAAGAAAGCAAGACACATCCAACCCAGCCAATTACTGCCTCACAAATCTATTCTTGATCATCAGTAAGGTGATGAAAAGGGTCATCAACAGTGCTACCAACCAGCACTTGCTTTGCAATACCTTGCTCACTAAAGCTTATTTTGGGTTCC